GGGTTTGCCTGGGCTGGCTGAGAACTGTGCATCCTGATGAGTTGTGCAGAGAGCCTCTACGCCAAGAGACGCGGCCTGGCACGCAGCTCCCTTCCCCCCAACCCCACCTGCTCCCCTCAAGCTCCCACGCTCGTTGCAATTCAGCCGTCTGCCCTGCCTTGCCCCCTCCATGCTGGCTGCGCTTGTCTGCAATTGTCTCTGCCGGATGCTGCCAAGGGAGATGGGCTGCCTCACGCTGTTGCTGAGCTGCTAAGACCGGAGCGTGTCTTGGCTCGCGGTGGGATGGGGGGCTTGGCAAAGGGCCGGATTCTGCTCTCCAAGGTGGGGGGATTATTCCAGGCTGACAGGGGCACAACTGAGAGCCCAAGCTGGCCCTGAGCCATTCATTATCCGTGCAACAGCTCACTACAGCAGCTGGGGGGACTCACCTACAGTTCTCCCTGCACTGGGGTCTTCCATCTCCTTCCCCCTCATGCTCCCCTTCTGATTGCCAGAGGCTGCTGCATCCTGGGCAGGGGCGTCTGCGTGTCTGCTCCTTGCACTCAAGGCCAACACCCCACAAGGACATGATCCTAGAAGCAGCAGCCCACAGAAGTGCCAGACCCCCATTCATCCCTATGCTACCCCTCAGGCACCTGCTTTCCACCAGTCTGAAGTGACTGGCACTCCAGGCTACCAGCCCAGAAGCAGACGCAGAGCTCCCTGGCCCCAGAGCTCTAGGACTAGGATAGAGAACAGGGATAGCTCTGTGGCAGCAGGGAATAGCGTGCAGAGGGGTTCAGCTCCCGAGGGAAGCACGACACATTATGGAAGGAAAAGCCCTGAAGCCCTAGTGGTAGGTCCCAGAGGCGACTGAGGCCTGAATGCCAGAAGACTAGATGCCAACAGTATGGCAGCGGGGGAGGAGAGAAGCCCATGAACCAGAGCTAAGGAGTAGCGAGCAGTGATTGCAGCTTTGTGCTATCACATAGCTGAGTCATACGGGGACTTGGCACCTCCAAGGGAAGGGACAGGAACCTCAGTGGCCCCCACAAGGAACCCACTCTTGCCTCCTAGCCACCGCTCACTGGCTGCTGCAGCAGGAACCAGCAGAGGCAGACTCATGCAAGAGCCGGGCTGGCAGGGCCCTCGAGCAGCCGCATATAGTCCACTCTGCTGCTCAAGGCAGGATCCTCCCAGTCTACACCATCCCAGCCCGGTGTCTGTCTAACCTGCCCAGAAACTCTTTGCAAACAACCTTCTCCTACAGCTACCAGGCCTAAAACATCCAACACAGCCAGCCTTGCCCTGGGTATGGCAGGAGGATGAGGGCACAGCCCATGTCCTACCCTGGCACAGAGAAGGCTGTTAAAATACACTGGAGAGATCCAGACAAGAGGGTTGTCGTCCTACAGAGGAAGGCAGAAATACCCAGGCTCTGCCTCTCTGATGATGGGGCCAAGTTTCTGTGACCAGCGGCGTGACCACAAGCAAAGGAGCTTTCAGCCCTCCAGCTGGGGCCCTCAGAGGATTCAGCTCCTGGAGACAGGTGGACCCTGAAGCTCTCAACTTCTCCATCCTTTTGCGGATTAATGTTGCCATAGGATCTCCCCGTGGAGATCCCACTGCAGAGGACTCAGCCCCTCGGCTGGGAGCAGCTCCTTGGATTGCCTGAGCTGGCCTGAAGGCCTAAGGGAAAACCTGAAGAACTCGCTCTCCTGGTAAGGAGCTCGCCGTGGAGCTCTTGAAGCTTGGAAGGTGCTTGAGATAAGCAGGGGGCTGGGGCTGAGTTGGCTTTTTCTTCCTTCTCTCCGAGCCCTAATTTTTATTCCCATCATGTCTACCTGGCCGGGAGCCAACGCAAGGAGAAAGCACATCTCAGCTGGGCTGCAGCTGTCCAGACAGAGATCAATAAGTGACATGCAGCGAAGTCTGATTTTATTACAGTGTCTAACAGCACAGACACCTAATAAAGCACAGAGCCCCGACTCCTCCTTAATTGCTTTTCTCTCACCGCCTTTTCTCTTAAAAAAAAAAAAAAAAAAAAAAAACCCAAATCTTTCCTGGCAACAGAGGCGCAACAGCATTTGGTTCAATCCGCACTCCACAAAGGCTGGCAGCTCCCTTTCAGGGGCTTGGTGCCGTCCGGGGTAATTACAGGCGCAATTTGCAAGCAAATAAATAATTAATAATCAGCCCAGCTAATAAAGTTCAACTTGAGGCTGGCTGGCAGCCAAGTCCCACTCAAATGCGGGGGAGGTTCTGCCAGTAGGTTTCTGTGGTTTGCAGCAAACCCCGAATTCCTCCCCTCCCTGTTCTGTTTGCTGGATGCTGGGGAAAAGTGGCTCTGAAACATGGGGCAGGAGGAGAAGCCCAGAGGAAGAGAAGGTCAGACCTCTCAGAGGGGAGAGGGGCCAAAGGATCCCAAATATCACTCATCCCTGGGATGTAAAATGCAAACCAGAGGGTCACAGGAAGGTTTAAAAGAAATGCAGGACCTCGGACAGGCCCTCAGTGCCAGAGGAGGAGGGACAGGAGGAAGCAGACGCTACCAAGAACTCAACCTGCATGGGCACATGGACAAGACACCGGTGCAGGTCTGTGTGGCTGGACAGATAGGCCTGCCACTGCTCCAGCTTCCACCTGCTGCACCAAGCAAGAGCCCAGAGAACAAGGCCCTGGTTTAGAAGAGGTGCCACAGAAGCGCTCCCAAACAGGATGGCCCCCCTGCCCCGAGGGGACCTCTGGGGCATTCAGGCCCTGTGGTCACTGCCCCGTGCAGAGGCCCAGTCCAAAGGTCTCTGGCATCTTCCAGTTGGTGGCGATGAACTCTGGATGGCAGCACAGCCCAAGGAACTTCATCCTGCTGCCACTGGCTGAACCAGCCAGGCAACCGCCTCCCTCTAGCAATGTCCAGGGCACAAGGACTTCAGCAGGGGAGGAGGAAGGCAGACTGGAGGCAGGAGGAGGGACTTCTCTGTCCTTTTCCCAGTGCCCTGCCTGTTCAAGCACCAGAGCAAGGTCCCTAAGCAGAAGACTCCTTGGAGTGGCAGCCTCTGCTCAAGGCCATCTTCCAGACCGCTTACTTCAACCCTACCATCTGACCCCCATGCCCACTGGCCCCCTCCTGGCCCCCTGCGCTCTATAGATGCCTCTAAGTACCCACTTCCACCCACCTCTTGCAGGGCTGGCCAACGCTGTTCCTATGGCAGAAGCCTCCCCAGGTCCAACCATGTTGAAACACATGGGCACCCTCTGCAAACAAGCAACCAACCTGCATGGCTGCCCAGGATGGCCTCCTCACAAGGGCAAATCCAGCACCAATTCAGATCCCAGAGTGCTATGTTATACAAAACCAGCCCCTCAATGCCAGCTATACCAATCTTGACAGACACATGGTTTATGCCCTCAAGCAGGAAAGGCTTGAAGGTTTATGCCCTGAACCAGGAAAGGCTCCGCCAAGCCTGACTCCCCAAACTTTCACAGAACATCCTCTGAGGGTGTCTCCAAGGTCAAACCCTCCAACTAAAGGCACCAGAGAGCCAGGCTGAGCACTCTCACCTCGAACTGAAGCCAACGAGAGCCAGGGAAGCTCAGCCCTTCTAAGAATCAGGCCCCAGGGGTTGGGGAAAAGCTGGCTTACTTTGGCGGGCTTTGATGGAGTTGTCATGATTAATCTCACTACCTTTTAAATAGGCGATCTGCTTTTATTAGCATCCCATGAGGAATGTGACAGGCACACGTACTGGAGGCTGTGTTCTAAGCTCTGACTGGATAGAAGCAAATTTCTTTCGGGGGGGGTCCTATTTTCAACAAAACCAGAAGCTCTTAACCCTACACGCATCAACATCCCATCTATCCCATGCACATGGTGACTGGCAGGACAGCTTTACCAGGGTTCTCGGGTGGGCAGAGAAAGCATGTGCACATGCACACACAGACACACATGCCTGCACACAGACACATACAGACACATGAACACACGCACACAATTTCAATTCACACTGGTCCAACTATTTTTGCCACAGTTCAGCCAGAAAGCCATCCTGGAGCCCAGCACTCCAGGTCACCCATCAAATCCTTACAGCAGTGGTCCCTGGACCCTGACTTCTGCCATCTGGCCTATTTGTTCCTTTCTGTGGCCGTGGGCTTAGCCTACCACAGAACATGTTAGCTTCCACTGAATGGGGAGGCTACTGGAGAAGGGAGCTACTAGAGGATGGAACAACTGATGCCAGGGGACAAAAAATGCAAAAACAGGGTGGGAGTGCAGGTTGCACGGCTAAAACAAGTATACCAGATGGGGACACCGAGCAGAGTCCCCCCGGACAGTGTCCGCTGGCCCTCATTTGCCCAGAGACAGGATTGGAGTAGGGAGAGGAAGATGGCCCCGCAGTCCCCAGGGACCCTCCTGGCCAGAGCCTCCTTCCTGGTCAAGTATATGGCCAGCTGGGCCAAGGCCTGGAGGAGGTTGACCAGGAGGTCCTGGGACTTGGTGGGACCACAAATGGGGCATGCATAAACACCTCATCCATGGCCAGAACCTCAAAGAGGAGGTTCAGGGGCTGCAGCCTGGTGCACTCCAAATAAACGTATGCCACTTCTGCCTTCTGGACAGGAGCTGGGAATGAAGGCTCCCCACTTCAACTTGCTCTTCATGTGGAAACAGAGCATTTGGCATTTTGATCCCAGACACCACATTGCATGTCTCACCGTGCCGTCAGTCCTATGGCCTTTCATGTCAGAAAGCTATGAGCATGGGGCTCAGACAAGATCACCAGAGACACAGCAGCTAACGCCTCTGGCATACACAGTTTTCAGAGGGCTTACTTCGGGGACTGAAGATAGAAACAGGCACTGCTGAGACAAGCAGGCACTTGGTGCCAACATTGGATCCATTCTCTGTCTCCTTCAGCTTCACACACTTCCAGGCGAGTGCCACCCTTATGCCCAACTCAAATCCCTCTCCCATCGGAGCCCCGTCAAGCCCACATAAGACAGAAGGAAAGTGTCTTACTCACCCACGCAATCGCAGGTGGGGAACTCCGCCTGAGCCCTCTTCGCTGGGGTGTCCAGCAAGCTTTTAGTCGGCGTGTCCAGGTACTTCAGCGGAGACTCCAAGAATCCACTGAGGGTGGGCGTGAGCGGCACGTCATCCTTGGTCGGGGTCCCATCCACATCGTCGGCATCCGTGTTTTGGCTTTCCTCAGAGTAAAAGCAAGTGGTTGACACCACGGTTATAGCACCAGAAGATTCGATTTTTATCTGCTTAGGCGACCTCGCTGCAAAGGCGCTCTCCAAATGCTGCCCCTTCCCGGGCGAGAGGGAAAAGCTTTTTAGCCCTGGGTTGGGAGCACTGGTGAGGGGCGGTGCTTCCTCCTTGGTGGCTGGCACTTGGGGGGCTGCGTCAGAGCCTCCTGGCAGCTCCGGGGACTGGGTCTGAGAGCATGGGTGGCAGGGAGGCTGGGCCGGCAACCCATCAGCCACCGGAGCCGGGAGCTCGGGATTCTGCAGGTTGAAGTTCTCCCCAAACTCTGCCTCGAATTGCCGAATCAGTTCCTCCAGTTTGTCATCCACCATGATGGAGTTCTGGGGTTCACCTGGGGGTAAGGGCTTGTGGGCAGCTTCATCCGGCCCGAGGCCAGAGGTGGTGGTCACGCAGCAGGGCACCGAGCTGGCAACAGGAGCACCAGGCAGAGTGGGCTGGCCCGCCAGCCCCTGACAATGGCTCTCCTCCGGGCTGCTGTGGCCAGGAGCGCACCTTCCCTGAGAGTCAGGCACCTGGCCTCCTCCGTCGCCAAGTAGCTTATGCAGCGGAGACAGCGCAGCGGCAGCACCAGGAATGGGTAGTGCAAAAGGCAGCGGCCTGAGGGGGGTGCTGGGTGGATGCGGCTCAGTCTGCATCTCTTCCATGGGGGGCTCGGGGGCAGGGGCCACGCGGAAGCCTTCGAGGCTGATCTGCCGCAGGGGCAGGAAGAGTGGTTGAGAGTCTTTCTGCTTGGGCTTCTTGATCTGGACCTGCTTACGGAGTGGTTTTATCTGGGGTACCTTGTCTGGCTGCACCTTCTTCTTCTTCTCTTTGGCCTGCTTCTCGGATGGCTTGGACACCAGGGCTGGGGAGCTGGGGGCCCACCAGTGGGGCGGCGGCTCCGGTGGGCCTGGCTGTGACAGGTTCTGGTCAAGGAAGAGGCTGCGCTTGTGATGCAGGTGCTGCTGCAGCACCAGCTGGGTCTTCTTGTGGAAATCCGCATCCTGCAGCAGCTGGGATAAGTGCTGGCCAGCGACTGGCTTGGGGTAGCCAGCCCCAGACTCCTTCTTCAGGGCCGGGTCAGGCGGCTCCTGTTTCAGCTTGATGGCTTTTGCCTTGTTGGGCATTGCTTCTGGCCGCTTGAACACTGACTTGATGTAATCGTCAGTGTTGCCTAGCAGCTGCTCCAGCTCAGCCATGGGGTCACTGGCTGGTGGGGTGGAGTCCAGAGCCCACAAGCTGTTCTTCGTCTTTGTCTCCTCGCCCCATGGCTCGGGGAACTCGGGCTTCGGTGGGGTGGAAGTGGAGGTGGGGAAGAGACCCGCGGACTCCCGGAGGGTGCTGCGCTCTAGGAGGCAGCGGGCATCCTCAGCTGGCCATGGAGATTGTGCCAGGGATAGTGGTGCCTGGAACACCTTCTGCCCTCCATAGGGCGGTGCTGCTTGGCTCGGAGACCGTTCCCTGCTGGGGGTGGCCAGTCCCCGGGCTTCATCAGGGCAGAAGGGAGATGCCCGCACCAGCTGGTCCTTGGAGGTGAATGCTGCAGGTGGCAAGGAGCTGTCGGAAGTGGCCGGCACCTCCCTGGCCGGCTGGGGGAGGGTGGACGACAGCTGGGTGAGGGCCTCGATGGCGATGGCTGTCTGGAGACTAATGTTCTTTTCCTTGGCGATGCTCAGTGCACTTGGGGAAAAGGGGAGGCTGTCAGAAGGGCATGGCTTTAGCACCTCCTCTGTTGCAGGCACCTGGTTAAGAATAGCACCTTGGTCTGGGAGCTGGTGGGCTTCGCTGACATGCTGGGACCGTGGGCTCTGCTCGTCCCCGATGGCTGACTTGATCTTCTGCTCCAGCCACTCCAGGTAGTCGGGGCACTCAGGGCCGTCGCAGTTGCAGTTGGGGGGTTTCATGCCATGCTTGGCCAGGGTCAGGGCAGCCTTGAGTGCCTTCAGGTCCTCGCCGCGGGTGACACCATCGGGGGACGGGGGCAGCGTGGGCTTTCCCGCCCCTCCTCGGCTCATCTCAGAGTTGAACTTCTCGTACAGTTGCATGCTCAGCAGTGACGGGGACCCTGAGGCCGGCATCCCATAGGAAGACATGGCCTCAGCCACCGCCGAGAAAGCCACCAGGTTCCGTGCATCCTCCAGGTTGGCATTGCTCCCGGCATCCCCTGGGCCCGGGGCCGGCACTGGTGCCCGCTCCCACTTGGCCTTCTCGCTGGACGTGGGGGCCACTGGTGGGCTGCTGAGCCACCCACTCGCTTCCATTAGCATGGCACCTGTCCCGGCCTGCTGGCTACCGCCATTCACCACGCTGAGCCCCCGGCCTTCGTTCAACCTTCTTTCTTCAACATAGTTGACTGGCCCTTCTTCCATTTGGCCTCTTGTGGGTCCATCAACTGAGTTGCCCTCTGAACCTGTCTGAGAGAAGAGAGAGAGGAGGAGAGTGAGTGAATACCCACAAAGCTCCCTGATTACAAGGACCCAGACCCTCCCCTCTTAAGGGTGAAGCCCACCCAGGCGGCCACTAGGAGGGCAAGATATGATGGCAGAACTGGCACGGACAGCCCCATGGGACTCTGACCAGCATCATCTTGGGCTTGCTCCAATTAGTCAAACACTAGCGTCCACCCCCTCAGTCTAATTTATTTCCCTCACGGTCCTTTGGTTGTGGACAGATGTTGCTTTAAACTGTTTTAAAAGGGGCTGGGAGCTTGCATCAGCTGTTCCAAAGTATTTGTTACATCTGCCTGCACCTGAAGGGGCACAACTGAAATGGGGCTCACATGCAAATGGTTTTGCTCTGCTTCTACTGAGGAGCCGACACACGTAACAGGAATCTTAGAGCATCAGATACCCGTTCAGAGTAACACCAGGGTAACTGTTACGTCTGTCCATGCTCTTAATCTAGGCCGAATCGAGCCCTGTTCAGATCAAATCGAGAGACCCCCCGCCATGGTCTTCAGCATGGATTTGATCCACCTGGCTGAAAACTCACCATCTGGGCTAAACAGGAGCAATGCAGTGAGTATGAAAACCCTGCCCCTACTCACAGCCAGGCTGTGATGCACAGTTTGAGGGACAGTCCCTATCTCCATCAGTACAGCCAGCCGTGCCAGCAGCGGGCAATGCTGAAGGTCTAGTGTGGACAGAGCCGGGAACTCAGCCCTCCCAGGAGCACAGCACGTCTCTCACCAGGCTCTCCAAGTGAACGCACCAGCCCTGCTCACCTTCCAGCGGTCCCTGCGGTCCTTGCCTGGCTGACGCTAGCCCTGAGTGAAACCTGCTCCGATCTCTTCCTGCCTCTCTGTCTGCTTTTCCTCAGCTCCGTCTGCTTTGCCCTCTGCCTGCTGCTTAGCCTGGGGAAGCGTTATCAGGGAATCGGAGAAGTCAGAGACAGGAAATAGCCATCGGGGGGGCAGCTAGTCCGTCCCTCAGCGGCCACTCCGCACCGTTCCCTCGTCCGTCTTCCATCCGAACGCTATGAGCACGGGGCTCAGACGCGATCACCAGAGACACGCCAGCTAATGCCTCTGAAAGACAGCAGTCGAGGACAGGCTTCAGGGGGGCTACTTCAGCAACTAACAATAGAAACAGGCCTTGCTAAGAAAAGGGGGCACTTGGCTCCAGTGCATGATCCAAGCCACCTCCAGCCTCACCTCAGGCTCCTCAGCCCTGACACAGAAATTCTGTTTATCTCCTGGACTCTTACTGATTTCCATGATGCACCCCTTGATTTCACTTCACTGTTGACACCGGAGGAAAGTGTGTATGTGTATGTATGCTTATGTATGCACATGTGTGCACCCACACACCCATCGTGCATACGTTATTGAATGGCTCTGCCTTTATGGTGGGGTCTGTGATGAACCTTCTTGTGTCCTTTCTCCTTGACACCCTGACTTGACCAGCGGCCTCTGGCTGTTGATAAATATGGATTACGCTCTCCTAAAAGGAAAGTCCTAACAAAAATCTGTGGATGCCTGTATTCCCAGCAAGTGTAAATCAGCATAGCCCTCCAAACTGCACTGTTTTCTGCAAGCAAGTCATTCTTTGTAAGATAAAGGAACACTTGTGGCTTCAAAACCCAACCAAGGTGACAAGCAGGTTCTGACCATGTCTTCCTTGCTGCTAAGTCGACACCCCAGACATCTCATTTGCCTCCAAGACGGGTCACAGCCCACGGACCCTACCCCCAGGTCTAGTTTCAGGTTTGTTCACTACACTGTTTGCTGCTTTGTTCCATTCCCACAACACCTGCAGCACAGGAGAGGATGCAAGAGGGAAGGGGGGGCACTTGGGAGTCAACGGGGAGTCATCAGGACTTGCAGTGTCTGGGTTCGGTGTCTGGCTTTGCTACTGAACCCAGCCCCTCCCCTAAGCAAGTCATCTGCTCTGCAGTTCAGGTCCCCACCTGTACAATGGAGGCAATGATACCTCCCCGTGTGGTGCCTACCAGGATCCAGTCAACTTTGTTTAGGACTTCTAAGCATGCCTGCATGACAATTCCCTCCCGGTTACAGCAGCTTTCTCTGCCCAGACTAATCCCATTGCTAATTAAACGTTGTTATCCAACATCCTCACATCCAGTGAGATCCTAAGTGCCAAGCGAGGCCAGGGAGCACCCAGACACTGTAGCTATGGGTGCTAATACCTCGTACCATACGGCACACGGTGACACCTAGTTTTACAAGCTCCCTTCCCCAACCTGCATGCTGGACACTCTATTAAAACACTGCTGTTAGCTGCATGGCACCCTTTCTTTTTGGGGCAGAGCTGTCAGGAGCAGGAGCAGGCTTTGTTCCTCCACCTTAACAAGACCCCATGCTTGGAAAAGGGCTGCTCTCTAGAAGCAAGGCAGTGGCCATCAGTGCCTCAAAACAGGGGTTGCCTGGGGGCTGTGACCAGCTCAGTCCCAGGACAGGCCTAGCTAAGAAGCTAAGAAACTACTGAGACTGCCCTCTCCTCCAATGGAAAACCACCCTGAGTATGTTCCCCAGCTCACCAGAGGGGCGACCCTATAAAATCCCTAACATACCTATACAGAGGTTGGGGTAAGAGACCACCATGGGCTCCTAGGCTTCCTAATGTTAGTGCCTCGTGCACAGGATGAGTTACAGCCCAGCTGCACGGTGGCAGGTCCCCAGAGCAGACCCGCTGATGACAAGCAGCAGCAGAGGTGCGAGCGGCATAAAAAAGTGTCAGATAACGAGGCGGGGAGCGCATGTCGCACAGCCTCCCAGCCTGCTTGCTCCATCAATCACGACCCGGGCACAGCTGGCCCAGGGTCAGGGAGACAGGCCAGGAAGCCAGGCTTCCCCTCAGAGGCCCTGGAGAGGGCGCGGTATGTTCTGCAGGGGATGTCTGCAGTCTGCCAGCCAGATGCCCATGGTCTGGGCTGGGAGTGGAGTCTTGTAACGACTCAAGCAATGTGACGGGAGTAGAGGCTCTGTGCTCACACTGCACTTGGCTGGCCAAGCCCAAAGAGCCCTGTTCATTTCCTCCCCTCCAGATGGAGAAACTGAGCAACTTCTATCACCAGTCAGGAGTCAAACCTGAGCTGCCGAAGTGCCCCACACTCATTATGACACTGTGCCTTAAGTAATGCCCACCTGACTTTGGTCTGGCTGCTGCCCTGGGAGGCTGGTTTCTCTGGGAGGCTGCTGAAGTCCCTGGGTACCTTGCACCTCAGTAGAGACTCAGGGTGCCTGGCACCTTGGAAGTCAGGCTACAGATACCTCAGGTTAAGCAGCTGGAAGAGGAAACAACCAAAGCTGACTATAGCCCAAACGGCTCATCTGCTGCTACTGTGGATATGGGAGGGGGGCGGGGGAAGAAATGAACCCGGATCTGACTTTCAGTCTTGCACTTCATCCACAGGACAAAAGCCTCCAAAACACCATGCTCCTAAAACATCGCACTTTCTGCTTTCAGGGCACCTCAGGCTTTCCTAGATGGTCTGCATGCAACTCTGTGTGTGTGTGTGTGTGTGTGTGTGTGTGTGTGTGTGTGTGTGTGTGTGTGTGTGTGTGTGTGTGTGTGTGTGTGCGCGCGCACGTGTGTGTGCGCACGTGTAGGCAAGGGTCACTGGAGTGCAGCTGCCTCTACAGCTGTGAGGCTGCAATGATATGTTTCAGAAGGAGCTGCCTGGCCCGGTAGGGCCCAATCTTTTTGGCAAGTACGCCAGCTAAGCCCCACACCCCGCCTTGAGTGCCACTCTGATCCCCTTCCCCTGCTCAACCTCCTGCCCTGCTCCCTGCCCCTTTCCCAATACGCCGCATGCTGCAGACAAAAGCTGCTTCTGCCATTTCTGGCACCTGTGCACAGGTTGGATACCCCTCGCCTAGAGTTATCTTCTGCCCTTGAAACTTCCCAGGGAGACTGTTACGAAGGCCCAATCCACACACGTGTGCACTCCCATTAGATGCCACAGTGCTCTCAGTCATCCCAAGCTTCACAAAGTGCTTTTGCCAGCCCCAGGGTGCCATCAATTGGACTTTATTCTGGGGAGGCTTCAGCCTGTCTCTTCTTCCCCTGCCTGCAGGTGTCGGGCTGCACCACGAGCTAGTTTGACTGAACGAGGAACCGCAAACCCATTCAATTCAACTCGTGTCATCCGCGGCGCAGACCCTCTCCCACTCGATACCCCTGGCCCTAGGCCAGCACAGCTCAAATTGCTTGGGGTGAAGTGTGCCCTGAATGGGAGCTGCAGGGATGCTTAGGTACCTGTTTGAACAGAGCTGCAATTCAGGGTGCACGGGTGTCACTTCTGTGCGGAAACAAGACCCCAACTAGGCTGTGTCCCACATATCACACCCCAGCCTCCACAAAGGGGGAGAACTGGCTCCTTACAGCCCAACTAAGGCTCTTCTTGCAAGCCACTGCTCCCGTGCCCCTGCGGGATGGTATTTTTAATCCATGCCATTCCCCACTTGAGCCAGGCTTGGAGAAAAGCACAGGGCCAGGAGGTGCAGAATGGGAGCAGGTCTGCTTCACAGCGAGAGGACACCAGTTAGCTTCCTGAGTGCTAAAAATATAACCGCGCTGACTGGGGAAAGGGCGTTGAGGGCCAGTGTTTCCTGTCACACAGGCTGGCATGCTCTCCGGCGCGCAGGGAGAGGGATTTTCTTGCAGACAGCCAGAGCACTGTAGCTGGCACGCCGGGCTACTGCGCTGACAGGCAGCATCAAGAAGTAGCTGGCAACAAGCGAGAGATGACCCAGTGGGTCAAAAGTACAGGAGCTGGTTATGAAATCCCAACAGGGGCTGGGAGCACCCTTGTCCCCTACGAAAAGTGCCGTGGAGCCGGCTCCTTCCAGAAAGCTGCTCCACCTTGCCAGAAGCGTCCCTCACCCCATCTAGACGCGCCACCTGCAATAAACTAATAAACCCATCAAGCCAAAGCGAGCTCTGGGCAGAGC